CCTCTTTCAGTGCACGGACAAGCATGGCAAGTACTGCACTCCGCGCGACGACGACAAGGCCCGGCTCTTCAAAGTCTCGCCGCGCTACGAGGGAGAGAGCCTCGTCCTCAGAGCCGCAAACATGCCCGAACTGCGCCTCGCGCGTGACGCAATCGCCGCGCGGGTGCAGTGCGAGGTGTTGTGCGCGCCCAAGCCGCTCACCCTTCTCGACGCGGGCGACGAGGCGGCCGCCTGGCTCGAGGCTGCGACGCAGATCCCGGGCGTGCGGCTGACTGGCTTGCCTCGCGATTCGGACCGAGTGGTGGTGGTGAACCAGGACCAGGGCGACGCGGTCCCGACCTCCGGTGCCGCACCCGTCTCGCTCGCCGACGAGGCGCCTTTCCTGCTGACGTCGGTCGAGTCGCTCGCCGACCTGAACGCGCGGCTCAAGGCGCGCGGCAAGGCTGCGGTGGACATGCAGCGCTTCCGGCCGAACATCGTGGTCGGCGGGCTGCTGCCGTGGGAGGAGGACACGATCAAGCGCCTCGCGATCGACGGCGTCGAGTTCCACGCCTGGCAGCGCTGCGGGCGCTGCAAGATGACCACCATCGACCGGCAGACGCTGAAGCACGGGCCGGAGCCGCTCGCCACCCTCTCCACCTTCCGCGAGCGCGATCACGGCCAGCGTAACTTCGGGATGCACCTCGTGCCCGCAGAAGGCTGGGCCGGCGCCGGGCGGGTGTCGGTGGGTGGCAGGCTCGAGGTGCTCGAGTACCACGAGGAGCGGCGCGCCGAGTGGCTGCGCCTCTTTCGCGGCCAGTGAGGCATCCCAGATGTTTACCAGAAGCGCCGGTTGTGCGTATATGTGTACGGAGGTACACGGTGCTCCGACTGCAGCAGGCCGAAGAGCTGTGTGGGGTGCACATGGCCGTCGCCGCCGCGACTCTACACGTCGATCTGAAAAATCCATGCGGCGGTGTCCCACCCCCGGTCCCCGCGTGAGCATCGCCACGACTACTCCGTGGGCGCACGAGCCACGACGCCACAATCGATTGAACTCGAATCATGCACACGCGCGGGTCTCATCGCCGTCGACATCGCAAAACATCGGTCATTTCATACCCGAGATTTTCTGTTTCAGATTCAGCATTTACTGTGAGTAGTGAGTCACAGTGTGAGTACCACCCTGCCTAGGTCGCTGGGGCGGTTCTCCGCCTCGGGTACCCCAGCGGGTGCGATCGTGCGATTGTGTGTGTGTGCGGGAGTTTGGTTTCGTCGGGAGGGGAGCAGGGGAGGGGCAGGGAGGCTGCTCACCCGCGTGCACTGGGCCAGTGCTTGCACTTTGAATGCCGTGGGGCTCCTGCCCGTGTCCGGTTGTGGAGATGCGAGGGTCGCCGGCCCTTGCCCCAACCACTTTCTGCGTGTGGAGATTTACCTACCTTACCTTACCTACCTTGCCTGTGAGTGTGTTCCCAGAGTCCAGAGAGGTTGTTTATCGCTTTATTAATCGCAGTCATCGCCAGGTGCATGCGCAATGCCAATGGGAGCGAAGACGTTGTTCGCGTCCTCGCTTACTTTCACGTATATCAAGTTAGGTTAGGTCAGAAAGGAAGGTGAAGAACAGCCAGGCTCGGACTGGGACTGGACATCAAGTATCATCATTCACCCCCCCCCCCCCCGAAACACACAGACAGACTAAAGAGCGCAGCCAGCCAGCGCAGCCAGCCAGCGCAGCCAGCCAGCGCAGCCAGTCGAGAGAGACTCTTCTCTTCTTGTTGCCAGTCGTGGCAGTCCTCGCGGGGCATGTCGTCTTTTTCTCGAGAGCTCGGGAGAAAGCTGTTCTCGATGATCTCAGGCCCAGTGAGGTAGTGCGTCAGACTATCCCGGATCCTGCTGAACAAAGCTCCTCTTGTAGCTCGATCGGTCACACCGCAATCACCGACGAGTCTCCTGGTGAGATGATTGATGGAGAGAGAGGGGGGACGACACTGCTTCTGCAGCGTGCACCTCGATCCTGTACCGTGTTTGTTATGACCCCCCCCAATGAACACACCAGTGTGAGGGAGGGCGAGACGATCGAGGGGTCCCGTACCATGCGGAATCGACCCTATCCAGTCCTCAAGTGCTCAAGAAAGCACTTACTTGGAGCAAGCACTTGGAGTGCAGTCATTAACCTCACTCACATCCAGGGCCGGGGAGCTAAGTAAGAAGCGCACCCAGCGGGCCGGATGATCGATATCGGGTTACGGGCTAGAGAGCCCTAGCCCTGGGGGGGTGCGCGTTCGCAGGGAAAGGAAGGGCCGTAAAGTAAACACAGGTGTCCGAAAGCTGTGCTCAAAATTGAAATGTTCAGCGCTGACGTTTCCCTGTGTGGACGTTACAGGTGAGCGAGAGCGAGTCTCAGCACCCTGCCTGCCGTGCCTGGCCTCAGCCTGCAGCGGCGCCTGACCGAAGGAAGTCGGTCACCCGGCTCTTTGCTCCCGTCATGCCAGCCGTCGGCTCGCAGCAGTCGGTCATCCCGCCAGGCCTCCCCAAGCTGCCGGGGAACGGCTTCAAGGACCCGACCGCAGTGCACTATGCAAAGACGCACGTGTTTGATGTCCAGAATGGCATCCCTGCCATGAAGTCGACGGGGTCCATCATGCCTCCCTCGCCGCCGCCGAGGCGGGGCGGCGCTGTGCTGATGCAGCCGGCCACTGCCTTCGCCGGCGCCAATGCGCTCTCGCCAACCAAGACGCAGCCGGCGCACGGCTCGGAGGCAGCCACCCCGGCTTGGATCGCCTTCGACCGCAAGGTGCTCCGCTTCAACTGCCACTTTGACGAGGAGGTGCACGAGTCGCAGGCCGAGGCGAGCCGCGTGCGCAAGTGCATCCTCTACTACTACCTCGAGGACGACTCGATGCACATCTGCGAGCCCAAAGTGGAGAACTCAGGGCTTGGCATCGACCCCACAAAGTCGGCCGTCTACCTCAAGCGCCACCGCGTCCCCAAGCCAGAGGGCGATTTCTTTGGTGCGACCGACCTCAACATCGGCTTGACCATCGACATCTACGGCCGCGTCTTCACGCTGACCGACTGCGATGGCTTCACGCGAACATTCCTCGAGAAGCTCGGGATCGAGGTGCCGCAGGCGATCGAGGAGCCCACCGACGGGTACACCTCGACGCGCGCGGCGGTCAAAGCTCACGTCGGTGGCCGGCCGCGGCCCGTGAACGACGCGCTCATCCGCGGGGTGGAGGCGAGCCTCGGCGCCTCGTCGCACCTCCTCGAGGGCGACCGGCTGGGCCAGTTCCTGGACAACGACCGCAAGGTGCTCCGCTTCTACATGGCGTGGGACGACCGTAAGAAGCTGTATGGCGAGCTGCGCCCCTTCATCCTGCACTACTACCTCGCCGACGACCACATGGAGGTGGTCGAGGTCAAGACGAGGAACAACGGGCGCGACCCATTCCCGCTCTTTGTCAAGAAGGGCAAGGTTTACAAGAACATCGACTCGTACACGAGCATCGACTCGCCCACCACGCACACCACGCAAAACATCGGGCGGAGCGGCCGCGTTGACCCGGCCACGATGGAGGCATTCACAGAGGCCGACTTTGGGATCGGAAAATCGATCAAGGTGCTCGGCGTCGAGTTCTTCATCCACGCGTGCGACGAGTTCACGCGCGACTACTACCAGAAGGTGCACGGCGTCGAGCTGGTCGACGTGCCCTTCGTGTACGAGGAGAAATGGGAGCGGCCCAAGATGCCCGTCCCGCCGCATACCGGTTGGGCCGCCATCGGCAGCGAGGAGGACTCGCTTAACTCGATGCAACACCTCGTCCCAAAGCCGCCCAAGAAGGACATGAAGAAGCTGATGGACAAGGACGGTGTCATCCTCCGCTTCCTGGCCCGCTTCGAGACCGAGGCCGAGGAGGACACCGGGCGACAGTTCGTCATCAAGTTCTATTGCGCCAACGACACGATCGCCGTCTTTGAGCCGCCCCTTAAGAATTCGGGCCTCGTCGGCGGCAAGTTCATCGAGCGGACCACCCTCCGGAAGGCGGGCACGCAGAAGGAGGATGGCACGTGGGAGTTCTGGCTCCAGGGCGACTTCTACACGGGCGCTGTGGTCGAGCTCAACGGCTGGCGCTTCGTCATCTACCAGGCGGACGAGTACACGCTCTCGTACATGGAGGCCCACCCGGAGCAGCACCCGATGTCGAGCATCGCCTACATCTGCGAGCAGGCGGCGCCGGTGCTTGCGGAGAAGAGAGAAGCGCTGCTCGCCGACTGTGCGGCGGCGGACCCGTCGGAGAGCGGCTACGTCAATTACGAGCCCTTCCAAGCCGCGCTGGCGGGAGCAGGGATGGAGCTAAACGACCAGGTCCTCGTCACACTCCTGCGCCGTTTCGACGTGCGGAAGGACGGAACGGTGAGCTACCGCGAGCTGATGAATCCCGACAGCAATCTGTGGAAGTGAGTGCGCCATGGTGGTGGGATGCGCCACATGAGGCATAGAGCACTTTGCGGCTGCGCGGGTTGTGCGCGCGCGGCATGTGCGATGTGGGTGGAGCGAGCGCGACGGCCCCCGGCCCCGCGCGCTGGCGCTGCATCGCACATGCACATGCGAGGCTGCGCCGCGCAGCGCCGGCCGGCCGCCGGGCCGCCCTGCGTATGGGTGTATGTGGTGGCGCGCGAGTCTTTTTGCGGGTGACGGGAGGAGGAGTAAACGTACAGGGGCTGTGTAAAGCGAGCTGCGCGAACCGCACCCCCACGCGTGCAAAGCGCGCCGGGGTTGGGAGCCGCACACGCTAAGGAGTGACACTCGCTGCTGACAAGCGAGATATGTTGGCTGGAACGTGCCCACGGCCACACAACGTACGGAATGTGCATGTATGCAGTTGCCGCGCCGCGGCTCATACTGGGGCGGTGGCGGCTGCCCCTCGCTCCTCAACTCGGGCCCTCCACTCGCCAGACTTTCCGCCAGACTTGCGCAGGAGGCGCAGCTCCGAGATGACAATCCCCTTGGACGCCGCCTTGCACATGTCGTACACGGTCAGCGCGGCGACCGACGCAGCCGTCATCGCCTCCATCTCGACGCCGGTGCCTGCGGGGCGCGCCGCGGCCGCGTCAGCAAGCCCCGCGCCGGCAGCACCGGCCCGCCTCGCCGCGCCGCACACCCGCGGCGCACGAGGCGCTCGCGGTGATGTGCAGCGAGTGCGCGGCGGCGTCGAGCTCAAAGTCGACCTGCTCAGGGGCTCAGCTCTCAACCGGAAGGGCCTCGCGCCAAGGCCCCCGGCTGCGGGCGGCACCGACGCGTGCGATATCAGCAGCGGGTGGCAGAGCGGAATGAGGTCGGCCGTCCGTTTGGCAGCGAGCACGCCCGCCACGCGAGCGACGGCGAGCACGTCGCCTGGTTCGAGGAGAGGTGTGTCCGTCCACGGCAGCTCACTGAGGTGCTGAGCTTCACGGGCCGCGAACAGCCAGGGCAGAGAGAGCGGTGCAAGCTCGCCTTTGGCATTGTCAGAGAGCGCCTCGAACGCGGTCGGGCCAAGCTGCACCGTGGCGCCGGCCACCGCCTCGCGCTTTGTCGTCGCCTTTCCCGACACGTCGACCATCGAAGCTGCTCCGGCCGCGTCAATGTGGCTGAGAACGCTGCCGCTCGCCGTCCTGGCGCCCGCTGCGGAGGCCCAGCCAACAGACGATGACAGCCCGACCACCAGCTGGCGTGCGGCGGCAGGAGGACTGCGGGAAAGGCATCGCATGACGACCGCTGGTTGGGGGTGTGCTCTTTGGCCGGGTTCGGGTACTCGAGTGGGGGAGGGAGTGTCACGGGCATTC